GAAGAATGGAGAAGAGGATGTAGAATAGGAAAATAAAGGGAGGAGGATACGGACAAGGAGCAGGAGAGAGTAGGAATTAGGGAATTAAAGTCATATTCAAAGGAGCTACAATGGTATCTTTGGGCTGTTTGAGTTCTGGGGTGTTTTTGATGTTATAAAGCTGTATATAGTGTTTAACTTCACTGTAAACAGTGTTTAGCTTCACTGTCAAGTGTGAAGAAAAATAGTAATTAGATATGGTTTGATTGTCCTATGAGAAAGGAGATAAATAGTGTTGATATATGATCTGGCTAGAAAATGTGGTTGAATATAGCAAAAAACTTATTGACATTGGAGAATTAAAGAGAAGAGTAGAGGAAAATACTGAAGTAACAATTAAAGAGAGAAAGCTTGAGAGAGTTACTTATGTTCCTGGAGATGAGAGTGTGGAGAAAACAGTGAAGATGAATCTCTTCCAACCCAAGTCCATTCTGTGCAAAGCAAATCGAAGAGGAATTATTGTTTGAACAGATCATTTTTATCTGGTATCTCATATTTTTAGACCATTACTCTATCTGCAACTGAAGATATTTGTAAATACTTTAATAATGAATTTATGCATATTTTCTTTTTATGAGTATTTGACTTTAAAGAGTTTTAATTTAATTTTAGGCACAATATTTGTTTTATAAAACATGGCTAATATAATTTCAGTAGAACCATATAATCGTTCTACTGAACTGAAATTGTTCAATTTTCTTACACTATTTAAATTACTCATGAGTCATATGACAAACATGTAGAAAATAATCAATGAGATACTTTTGATCATATTATGATTTCTATGAAATCATCCTGAATATATTCTAGTATTTAAAGGAAAAGGAAGAGTAAACAAATATCACTATAAAATACATAAATAGCAATGGTCATTATATAATTTTAACAGTTTCGTGTATCAGGCAATGTATACATACATATTTTATAACATTACAATGAACAAGAATTTTCATAACATTTTTTGTGTGTATAATATGCAAATGGCATTATCTCATTTAAAGTTGTAATAATGAAACTTGTTTTGCGAACCAGAAAACAAGATTAGCTACTAGTTGATAAGATATTACAAGTGTATGTTGATTTCTAGAGGTACAATCCAGCTTTCTATTTTGAAGCATGTATTTCATTTTCAAATATTAACAACTGTAATATTAAAAGTTTATAGCTTCTATATATTATGTACAATTTAGGGTTGTTATTATGAATTCTACACTAGTAAACTTACTTCATCTTATTTTTAAACAGCTAATAACTTAAAAGGTTCTTAAAATAATAAAACAAAGAACATTTTAAACAAAAATTAACATTTTTGACCTTGAAGGAATTCTTATATTTTAAGTCATTTGAGAGTTAGATGCAAATATTATGACCTCATTTCACTAAGTGACACAGCATTTGTTTGATAAAAACACTTTTAAACCAGGCATGGGAGCTCATCGCTGAAATCCCAGCACATGAGAGACTGATGGGAGCATGATCAAAAGAAGCTAAGCAAGAAGGAGGACTCTAGGTAAGATGCTCAGTCCTCATTAGGAAAGGCAAACTAGATAGACTTCTGAAGGGAACAGGACAGGAGCCTACCACAGAGGGCCTCTGAAAGACTCTATTCAGCAGGGCATCAAAGTAGATGTTGAGACTCATAGCCAAACTTTGGGGAGAGTGCAGAGAATCTTATGAAAGAATGGGGAGATGAAAGACCTGAAGTGGATAGGAGCTCCACAAGGAGAGCAACAGAACCAAGAAATTTGGGCTCAGGGGTCTTTTCAGAGATTGATACTCCAACCAAGGACCACACATGGAGATAACCTAGATTCTTTGCTCAGACATTGTCCATGGAAGCTCAGTCTGCAAGTTGTTTTTTTAGTAAGGGGAGCAGGGTCTGTCTCTGACATGAACTCAGTGGCTGGCTCTTTGATCACCTCCCCTGGGGGAAGGGGGACTGCAGCCTTGTCAGGCCACCAAGAAGGACAATGCAGCCAGTCCTGATTAGACCTGATAGGCTAAGGTCAGAGGGGAGGTGAGAAGAACTCCCCTATCAGTGGACTAGAGGAGGGGCATAATGGGAAAACAGTGAGGGAGGGTGGGACTGGGAAGAGATGAGGAAGGGAGCTACAAAAGAAGTATGAATTTTAAATATTTAGGGATGATTCAAAGTTTTATTGCAAGCAGAAAGAATAGAGGAGGGAGGGTTGGAGAAAGGAGAGAGAGACTGGACCTGGAGGGCAGGAGAGAGGAGGCTACGATCTGGATGTAAAGAAAATAAGTAAATACAGTAATTAAAATAGGAAAGAAATGAATCTGTAAGAAAATACAGAAAAATTTCAACTAGAAAATAAGTTTCTAAAATAATGTCTACAAATATATTGGGACCATTAGAGATTAAAAGATCTCAAAGGCTCAAGAAGTGTATAGGGAGATTACAGGCCACTTTTACAGCATATGTTACTCTCTGTATACTACTATTCTAATCTGGACAAGATATTATTCAACTTTCTAATCACATACCTTGAAAGACAAAACCTGGCCTTAAAAATAACCCATCAATATTTGTAAATAATAGCTTAACAAAATTGGATCTTCAAATATAGTATACCCAATATGTTATGGAGAAGGACACAGAATCATATATGAGCTCTTATGGGCCCCGATAGATGACTCAGCAGATTTAAGAGCATACCCTTTTAATGGAGGACTAGAATTCTGTTCCCAGCAAAACTCCTCTAACTCTGGCTTCTTGGGGTCTGTTTCTTCTTCTGGCCCATGTGGTACTCTGGTCATGTGCTCACAAACACATAGAGACATAATTCAAATATATTTAAACATAATTTAAAAGCTAAACTAAAATGGTAAAAAAAACCTCATGTTAAATTTTTTCTGTATATTACTATTGTGCTAAAAATTTCAATTATGTTAAGGAGTGAAGTCATGACTTGCTGGAGAGAAGGAGCAGCAGCTAAGAGGACTTCCTGCTCCTGCAAAAGACCTCCCTCCCTTTGGTTCTAATCAAGCACCTCAAGTGATTTACTCTTGCCAATAACTCCACTTGCAGAGGATCGAAACCCTCTTCTGGCACTCATGGTACTTGCTCTGGTTTACATGCACACAAGCAGTCATACATACATACACATAAATATAAAACTAAATTAATGAAATGATCCCAAATGAATTTGTTTTGTAAATAGAGAATAATTGACTTTTGTTGTTGTTGTTGTTCTTAAAAATAAGCAATAAATGCCAGATGATGATGTTCCTTTGCAAGACCTATTTATAATTTATTATAAAAATATTTCATTAGAGAAATATTCCAGTTCATAACTGACTCTTTTTACCTCTTGTCAGTATGGTTATAAATTTTATTAATTTGCTGGTGTCAAGTATATAATGAGGCATTGTTAAGTGAATTATCAATACAATAAATCAACTCAGAAAAAATTTAATGCAATTTACATTCAAAATTACTTCATTTGTGGGTTGCCTGTTGAGAAGTGATGGGGAGAGGCTATCATGGACTTTATTGCCTGCATTCAGATCACATCTCCCTGGCAGGACTACCTTGCTTGGCCTCGGGTGATGAGGATATACTTAGTCCTGATGTGACTTGATTGCTGGGGAGGATTGATATGGAAGAGAGGATCTCCCCTTTTCTGGGGGATAGGGAGAAGAAAAGACAGAAGCAGGGAAAGAAGGGGATGGGAGGAAAGGGGCACTCTTGGGATGTAAAGTAAATAAATGTAAATAAAATAATTTAAAAAAATTACTTCATTTATGTAAGACAAAAAATTAACTGCAAATTTTCTATTTCCCCATGTTTTAAATTAAAACAATTATCACAGATTAATATATACAATTTTCAACACTGAAGCTATGACTTCTATCATTTTTTCCTTCTATGATCATTATTGCTATTGATATCATAAGAATTACTGGGTGTTTTACTGCATCATATTTTACATTTTGGGATCACTTTACATAAACTGTGAGAGGAGTGTATTGTGGTCTTTCTAACCTTTACATCAGTCTGTGTGTGTGTGTGTGTGTGTGTGTGTGTGTGTGTGTGTGTGTATTGAGATGCACAGGGAAGTCAAAGGGTAATTTGGAAGCTAAGTTTTCTCCTTCCACCGTTTAGATCCTGGGGTCCTAATTCAGATCACCAAGCTTGGTTGTAAGTTTCTTTGCTCACAGAGCCATCTCACTTGGCCCAAGAATATAATGAATATTTTATATGCATTTACTAATCATGCTGTTTCTCATAATTTTAGTTCCATTTCAAACTTGTAACTGTCCCTGGTAAATTTTACTAATCACGGCAAATATGCAGACTCATATGTGTGTGTATGTATATATTTCTCATTTATATCAAGTATTATTCAAATGTTCTCTAGTTTTTGTCTGCCAGTTTTGTCCCTATGAAAGTTCAGTGTATCCTATTGCTGGCTATGTTTGTAATTGATACATAGTGAAACTCATCATACAATTGTCTTCATGAATATGCAATGGCCTTAACTGTAGACAGAATTAAAATGTGTTATCTAATATTTTTCAACTTTATTATTCATCCTCTGAGGTGTCACTCTGCTAAAGTAAAATATATATGAATGTGAACCAGTATGTAATAGTTTTGAAGATTACTGAATCCAGAATTGGGAGATAATAAAAGCACTCTCTTCTGCATTGGAATTCCAGATAAGAACACCCATAAGTAGCAGAGATAAAAAGAGAAAGTTAGAAATATTTCAAATGCAGAAGGCGATGCACTACTCTGCAGCAATTCTCAATTGTGTTATATATAGAAATCAGATCAGCCATTGTTTTCGAGCCTGCTAAATAAAACTAGCCTGCTGGAATGGCATGCCGCTCGCTTGACCTCTCAGGGCTTCCACAGCAGTATTTAACTGGTGCAAAGCGAGCACTCTTGCAAGTGTCTCCTGTTTACATGCCACACGGCCCTGCTACTTCACACAATGTTCAAAAGGCACAAGTCCCTGGAACGCAAGAGGGAATTTTTATTCCAGGGACTTCCACAGTCCACAATGAGGAATAATACAAGAAATTTCCACTCCTTGTCACAACTTGTACTCTCAGCAGGCCCGCTAAAGACAACTCCAGCAGTCAAACGTTCAAAAACGACTCACTTTGAGATTGAAATACTGGATGCTCATACAAGAAAACAGATATGTATTCTGGATAAGGTAAGGTTTGTTCATCTTTTTAAATGTTTCTTGTTAGGCTCAAAATTACTGACTTTACTATTTGATGTCAGGACTTTGCTAACTGTATTTCTAAATCCCAAACTTAATTTTTGAGTGAAAAAGAAGATTCCTTATATACTGTACCAAGAAGAAACATTTGCTGCATCCTCATGTTCAACTTAAAATAATCATTTTAACTGATATGATTTATGTTGCATTTCCTGTAATATTGCCCACAATCCAGAAGTAAAAAAATATTTAGAGCAAAACTCAGATTGCCATAAAATATTTTCCTTTCACGCCTTTTAAGCAATAAAATGCATATCATTTTAGACGTGTTTGTAGAAAAGAGGAAGTAAAACCAATGAATGTTAAACGTATTTAGTAATATCTAAAATGTAGGCATTTTAGCATACTGTTTTGGGTTGATTATTTTTCTGAAGTTTTCATCTTTTTAAAGAGCATTCTTCACATTCTTAAAGAGTATAGCTTATTCATGCCTCACATCTCTGCATCTGCATACCCAGATGTTTCAAGAAGAATGTTACTATCTGAATATCATAGATTAGCAAATTGAAGTATGAACATGTGCTCATTGAGGTGTAAGTACATGGATCATGTACCAATATATTTTTCATAAATTTCAAAAGACAAAAACTTCATTACAAGAGTGATATTTTCAAAATTATTTATTTATTTGGTTTCATAGAAATACTGTTGGTTGTTGTTTGTCTAAACAAACTGTACAGTCACTTACTGTATTTAACCATGCTGCAAGTGAGCTGCTAGAGAAGAGCACTGCTCACTGCTCATCATAACTGTCAAAAATATTATTTATTTTCAAATTGTGCTAGGATTGGTAGCTTCCTAGTTGAACACAATGATTTCCTTTTAGGCACAAAATAAATATTAAGATGTCATATTTTAATACAGGTCACAAGTAACACTAAGGAGACTCCAATAATCTATTTCTATACAATTGAAGATCATATACACTTACATTTCTGTAAGGGAGAAATGTGTTTTATCTTAAAGAAAATTTGATATATATATTTACATAATTTCTGTTTAATATTAAAAATATTTTCTTTGATTTTGATAAATCATTTCAGGAATAAGAAAACTGTTAAAACTTTAAATCTCAGCCAGACAGAGCTGGCAATTGCAGTACTTTACTATAAAAAGTCTCATTGCATAAAAAGTGCACGAGTGAAAAAAAAAGCAATGAACAAAAGAGCAGGGGATAACTTATGAATTGTTACCTTAAAATGATGAGGAATTTTAAATATTGATAATTATTGCTCTCATACCTGATATTTTCTTTGGAGAAACGAGAATAAACTTCACTTACTTAGATATGAATTAAACTGGAAGAAAACCAGAAACCTACTCTCTTAGGAATTCCACACATCAACTGTAAAAATCCTAGAACTTGCCTTTGGAGTGGTAAGATTTCATAGGGATCAACCCCATATTCACTTTGGATTCCTCACCATCCTATTTTTATTTTCTTTCATTCATTCACCTGTTGTTCCACTGTTCTTTTATTTTTTTTTTCTTACTGAAAATTCGACCCAGATCACAGCCCATATGCCAGTCACTAAATATAAGCTGCCACTGCCATACATGCTGTAAGAGTTTGAGTAATTAAATCAAACCTCTGATTTCACATTAAGAAGAGGAGGGTCTTTTGTTGTTGTTTTTATTTTTTTTAATTGTTTGTTTGTTTTGCTTTATGCCATAATTTGGCTCCGTAATGCATGAAAAAGAGATATGGGCAAATGTACATTTTTGGTTGTCCTTTAATGGTTTCAAATAGCTTGAAGCTTCAATCATCATAGACTGATTTTGTTTGTGGTTTTATACTTTACTGTCTTAATCTATGGGGTAAATATGAAGTGTTCCATTCCTCTGATGTTGTCACCTCAGTGCTCCTCTCCTTTTACTCTATCCATGTCTGTCTCCCCTGGGCCTTTATCTTCCACACTTTCCAGAGCTGGAACTTGCAGAGTCATCAGTGCAGCTGTCCAAAGACGGCTGAACCCCATCCTCATGACCGTGCTGTTACAGTGCGAATGCAGCATATTCTGTTATTTATCAAGTAGAAGTCTTCTCAAGACACTTGTATTGAATTCCACAAAGATTTTATTTCTGTAGTGTTTCTTTGGTGATTTAAAAAAAAAAATCTCTGCTGATTCATCATCATCGAACTCATTGTTATTTATAATCAAAGCTATTTTTGTCTCTTTAGCATTATCATCATTATCATCACTTCACCAATATCTTCTGTCTATCTGTGTCTTTTATAGGCATGCCTAATTTATCCTATCTGAAGCTGATAATATATGGGACATCCTAAGATAGTGACTTAAACATAATGTCAACTATTTTTAATTATACTCACGATTTGGATAGGCAATGTTGGTCCATATAAACTCTAAGAAAAAAGCAAATCTAGTTCTACTACTTTATGTTTATGACTTGACATGATATTTGATATCTTTAGTTTAAAATAGTATTATCAAATGCCATGAGTGGACTCTATCTAGATCTCGCACTAATTAGCTTCCCTAGAGATCTCCAAGTAAATAAATGGAAACCACCCTTCAAATAACTCTCCAGATACTCATGGGAGTCCTGATTCATCTCTTAATCTCACACCCCACGCAATCCATCTTCTTGACAATACCTTCAAAGTATATCCAGACTCTGACAGATCCCTGCCACTTCCACTGCCAGCTTGCTTAAATCTTCACCCTTCATTTGTCACTATCACCTACAGTGTATTCCCTACATGGCAACCAGAGGTAGCTGTTATATTGTGTCAGATAATACATTCTGCCTGGCAACTAAGCTTTGCATTCTTTTTCGTTTTCACTGTCACATTTTCCCACAGGCTGTTCCTAATTTTGAAACTTCAGTACAAACCAAAATGTCTCCTTTCCCCCAATTTTCTACAGATGTTACTATATGACACTATTTTTCTTTTTATTATTTGGTCTGACAATAGTATGTTGGATTCACAAACTGAGAGGTTTTATTGTTTCTTTCACTTCTGAATCTTCAGCATTTAAATCATAGCTTGGCACACTTCTAAGCAATTCACCTTTAGGTAATGACTCCCACTGAAATAGAGAGTATGGATATTGCTATCTTGTTCTAAAGTGACAGTTTTTAATTGGAACACTATAAATAAAGGATGCACATTTTGCTATTTTCTAGCTATATTTAAAGCAAATGTAAATCTATTCCCATACAAACACATGTCTTGACATCATTCTATCAAAGATTTCTCTTTATTTTCCCCAAAGATGGTTGGAAAAAAATTATCTTTAAATTCATATATAATTAATCTGTAGACAGCTTTATTCTGATGGCAAAGCCTGTCTCAATCCTCATGAATCATCTAGAGATGTTTACATAACTTTTTTTTCATGAATGACTAAAATAACAAATAATTAATGATGATACAAAGAAGAACTTAAAAAATACATTCCTAAGACATTTACTGGAACATCAAATACAAGAGATTATACAGAAATATGTTTTAAGGAAATGGAGAATTATTAACATTTAGCTCCTATGGTTGTCTCCTTTATCTAAAAATGTCAGAAGCTTATCTGCTGCTAAGTCACTTATTCAAGAGCAGAGCAAGGACATAAAGCACAGCGAGTGATGGATGGTTCAGTGTCTTCCCATTCTGTTTTGTTTGATCTTTATTCAAAAGAGAAGAGGGTCCTTCCTTTTCTTTTATTCTATGTCTGCCCTTAGCTTCAACATAATCTTTCTGAAGATTTCATGGAAATAAAGCACTAACACTACTCCATTAGTTCAAATGTGACCTACTGTTACAGACCCATGGAGATAATAATGGAATTAGATTGCCTTACAAAGAGTGTCTTTAAATAGTTTGTCCAAATTTCTGAAAATTCTTAACTGTGATAGTATCACTTTAAATAAGTCTTGAAAATTATAATCTTTTTTCTTTTTTATATTAATTAAAGTTTCTCACATTGTATCCCAGCTATAGTGCTCTTCCCCACTCCCTCCCAATCCTACCCTGCCTCCCTCATCTACTCCCACCACCTTCCCTAAGTCCACTGACAGGGGAGGTCCTCCTCCTCTTCCATCTGACCCTAGCTTATAAAGTCTCATCAGGCCTGCTGCAATTGTCTTCCTCTGTGGCCTGGAAAGGTTGCTCCCCCTTCAGGGGGAGGTGATCGAAGAGCCAGCCACTGAGTTCATGTCAGAGAAGATCTTTTCTCAATCTCACCATTCACCTGCAAATTTCATGGTTTTTTTTTTTATTATTACTGAGTAGTATTCCATTGTGTAAAAGTACCACGATTTCTGTATCCATTCCTCAGTTGAGGGATATCTGTCTTGTTTCCAGATTCTAGCTATTATGAACTACACTGCTAAGAACATGGTTGAGCAAATGTCCTTGTTGTGTACTTGAGCATATTTTGGATACATGCCTATGAGTGGTATAGCTGGATCTTCAGGAAATACTATTCCTAATTGTCTGAGATAGATTTCCAAGTGGCTGTACAAGTTTGCATTCCCACCAGCAATGGAGGAGGGTTCCCCTTTCTCCACATCCTCTCCAGCATGTGTTGTCCCTTGAGTTTTGATCTTAGCCATTCTGATTGATGTAAGGTGAAATATCCGAGTCATCTTGATTTGCATTTCCCTGCTGACTAAAGATTAAATACTAAAGTATTTCTTTAATTATTTCGTTGCCATTCAAAATTCTTCTATATAGAATTCTGTGTTTAGCTCTGACCTCATTTTTAATTGGATTACTTAATCTGTTGCTTTTTAACTTCTATAATCTTAATTTAATATGCTCTAAACTGGAAATGGTGTTTTTCTTACATTGACTTCTAGCTTTCTTCCCCCAGATTTCAGATTTATACCACTAACAGGTTTTTTGTGTCTTTTCTTTTTTTTTCTTTTCACTTTTTACCAGCACCCCCTAAGCTCTTCCCTCTTTCTTC